GGTTAACGAAGGGTTAAATAAAAAGTTATACTCACCTGAACCTCAGAGCTGGCTGGCTCCTAGACCGCTCCCTCCGGCCTCTCTCCTCCTCCGCTACAGTGATGGAATGTCCCTCAGTGTCCTCACGTCCTATAGGACATGCTGACTCACAGGTTCTTAGACCACCAGAGCGGAGGGGGGGAGAGAGGCTGCAGGGATGGGTCTAAGTGCCACCACATGAGTTAACCCTTGCAGTGCAGGAAGGGAGGGGGGGGTAGTCCCACTGTAAGGGTTCTGAGTACTGGATCCCGGAGTTCCCCTTTAAGGTGACTTACTTTTACAGAGTACGCCAGAGAAATGGTGACGGCCAGGGGGAGGCCCTCGGGGACGGCTACAACCAGCACGGTGACACCGATGATGAAGAACTTGACAAAGTATTGGATGTAGATGGGCGTGCACTCGGGAACCCATTGTATCTTCTGCACAACAAATGTATCGATTGTGAAGTAAAGGACGAGGATGATGACTGTGATCGCCGACATCACCAGACCTGCAGGACAAAGAGAAGGGCGATCATTCCCCGGCCGTGTCACCTCCCCAGACCTCTGCTCATAGGGGGGGGGGGGGGGGGGGGGCGCGAGCTCATCCCCCCCCTTTCCTGCCCTAGGGCCTTGTTCACACCCCAGCAGTCCATCCAACTCCATTAATGTGAAACTGCGAATCCCAGGAAAAGATTATCCAAAAATTTTGAATCTATAGGAAACTCTTTTACACTTTATACTGCCACTTAGCCGCTGGTTAGAGCTGTGACAATGGACGGTAGTCAAATCCCCTTTTTAGCATCACTGCTTCCTGACAAGACTGAAGTATAAAAAAAGTTTGATCTCTTGGGATGTATTCCTGAGAACAAGTAAAGTTATCTGATGTTGCAGTTCTGCTCTTCATTGATGACTCGTCGTCATTGATCAGTCCACTTCCATTGTTCTCCTTCCATAGGCACAATCAGCGAGGAGGATCGGCCTTCATACCGTGATCAGCGAGGAGGATCGGCCTTCATATGAGGACCTTGTTCTGCATTTGTGTCATTTCCCCATTTCCAGGGGAGACCCCAAAAATAATGCTGCAGAACATCTGATCAGCAGGGTGTGAGTACAGACACTGGGTGGCAGGAAATGACGGGTGGCAGGAAATGACGGGTGGCAGGAAATGACGGGTGGCAGTGAATGACGGGTGGCAGGAAATGACGGGTGGCAGGAAATGACGGGTGGCAGGAAATGACGGGTGGCAGGAAATGACGGGTGGCTCGGTAATATCGGTCTGTGCGCGGACGCTGAGGTCGGTGAATTAGACAGAACACCGGTATCTGCGTTCAGTATCGGGGCATTAGTACGAGTACTTGTGCCCGGTATCGGTGCTGGTGTATCCCTACCTAATAATATAATGTATTGCTGGGACTTGTAGTCCTCCATAGTTGGAGCTATTCTGTAATCATCATACAGCAATGGAGGACTACAAGTCCCAGCAATACATTATAATAAAAGTCAGTTGTGCCAGTGGTCATACCTGTATCTCCCTTGACGTGTGCGTGTCACTCACCCGCTTTGCCGATCTGCACGGCCAGTTTGGTCAGCTTGCCCTGCAGGACGGACTTCTCCTTCTTATGCGGATTGGTTTTCTTCTTCTCCTCCCCGTCGCCGCCCTCGGCGCTCTTCAGGGGCAGCATTTCCATGGCCGCCGCCCCATCTTGTTGTTTGGCTGTAAAAGCAGAAAGAAGAGATTGGTGCCGTGTCTGCCGGAGAAGATTATTCTACAAGTGTTGGGGGATCTCATGGCCTCCGTGTCACCGGGTTGCTGCATTCTACCGCTCTGCACCTTATTATATAGTATAAAACGGGGGAGGGGAGGAAGAAGGATGGAGGACTGTGGGAAGGGGAGGGGAGGAAGAAGGATGGAGGACTGTGGGAAGGGGAGGGGAGGAAGAAGGATGGAGGACTGTGGGAAGGGGAGGGGAGGAAGAAGGATGGAGGACTGTGGGAAGGGGAGGGGAGGAAGAAGGATGGAGGACTGTGGGAAGGGGAGGGGAGGAAGAAGGATGGAGGACTGTGGGAAGGGGAGGGGAGGAAGAAGGATGGAGGACTGTGGGAAGGGGAGGGGAGGAAGAAGGATGGAGGACTGTGGGAAGGGGAGGGGAGGAAGAAGGATGGAGGACTGTGGGAAGGGGAGGGGAGGAAGAAGGATGGAGGACTGTGGGAAGGGGAGGGGAGGAAGA